TTCTTTGCTTAACACACTTGTTTTAGGGTCAAAAACACCCTACCATTTCCTAGCTTTGCCGTTCTTTTTGGTTCCTCTCAAAAGCTTTTGTTAAAAAAAAAAGTTGAAAAAAAAAAAAAAAAAAAAAAAAAGAAAAAGCTTTATATGTAATGCATTACGGTTATCAAAAACCTTGGAGGTGTTTTAACCAATAACTCTCCACAGGAGGTAATACTGGAGGCTCAGATGTCCATCTCAAACTGGTTGTCATCTGTTGAAAAGGGACAGAGGAGAGGAGATAAGATTAAAAAGGGGAAACATCTGACATCAGATGACAGTTAACATTTGTTGTTTGTACCCAAAACACAACCATGCCTAAATGAACTACAGAGAAGGGGACAAACTACAGCCCTTATCAAAAACACTTGAGTAAAAAGGGTGTAACTCGCAAATCCAATCCCCATGACATGTCCTGTGTCATTACTGACCAAGATAAGAGAGATGGAAAAAGGGGTCAACCCTAATCCTCATGGTCTTTCCCCTGACAGGAGGATATTTGCTATCTATTGATATCTTAACCCCTCAGTCAGAACAAATTTAACAGCTGACACTATCAGCTGGACAGATAAAGAAAGCCTCATCATCATGTGCAATACGTAAGATACAGTGATTGACTAATAAAAGACTGGCCTAGTTTTAAAGACTTAACACATGATGATATTGAGTGAGCACTCCTGTCCCAGTACTATACACAGCATGACTGCTGTGCTGCAAAAATATAGCTATGGCACTGCGTGGACAAATGCTACACGTATATGCTGTATTAGCACATGCTGACAACTCAAACTGAAGCGTCATATTGGGGACAAAAGGTTGAAAGTTCATGAAAACACCACTAAGCTAAAAAAGTAAAGCATACTATTCATAAGGAAATTGATGCATGTAGTTGTTTTCTTGGATAAGACTACAAAATTGAGCCTTGTGGGGGATATTTTGATTTTGGTTTATATGTACGGTATTGTTTACCTGCAATGTCCTTCTCTTCCTCCTCGGCCTCCTCTTTGAGATCCTGCAATTTCCCCATGGGGTGTGTAGCAGGTACTGTTACCCCTGGGATCTGGGGCAGACAGCATGGGGGGGTCCGGGCAAGAGGGGAGTTTCGACAATCCAACAGAAACTTCCTGTCATAGATGATGCGGGTGCCTGTGTTTAAGAAAGAGAAAAAGAAAAAAAAAAAAGATTGTTTGGCCTGATGTAAACAAAAACTCTCACTTCCTGAAAAAAAAGTGAAGTAAATGCTATGGAGACAAACTTCAGACCAAATTCTAGACTTTTACAGGATCAAATGATAGCCTCGTTGTTACTGGAGCACCTCTGTATCACGTCAAGGTGCACATTTGGGGAGTTAAGTGTTATTATCCTGCAACGGAGGGGATTTGAATGGAAAGAGAGTTCTGCAAGTGCGCAGAGGGGAGGGATGAGGACTGCCACTGCAGCGAGTTCTAGGAAATCAGAGAACAAAACATTCTCTCTTTGAACCAAGAGGCCTTGAGATTAAAGCCATATTTCCATTCCCTGACCGAGATAAAGATTTAACATTGATGCAACATGCTTTGGTATGTATCCAAGGATGGCTTTCCTCGGGTTTTCTCGCAGCTGTGACATGATTTAAGCTTAAAGCTCCACACAAACATAAGTTTGCCACATCTAATGTTTACTTGGCATGTCTCATGTCTGTCATCATTTGGACACTGTCATAAAAAATGGTGTGATATTAAGTTTGACCAGGATATGCTGAGCCAAGGTGTGGTCTGCTGCTAACAGAATTTTTTTTACTGGACTTCGAACCATTCTGTACAGTATCAGTTCACCCTCTGTAAAAGGAAAACATGTTATGTAATAACTGAGCGGTGAGCAGTTTATCCTGTACAAAGGGAAGTAAAGCAGAGGGGGACGAGAGAAAGAACTGGGGCGAGGGAAGGGGGCTGGAATGCAAGCTATAGCTCAAGCAATGCACTGGCAGGCAGCATAACTGTGTGGGGCAATTACGTAAAAAAAAGGGGGTCAGTCCAGCAACACATGTTAAGAACTCAGTAGAGTATAATGTGTTGCGCATAAAGTTGAATACAAGTCAAAACTTTGTGTTGCAACTTTCTAGATTGTGTTTACCAGTTGCCCTTAAGTTTTGGTGCAAAAAAATATTGTTCATATTCCCCATGCATTAGAGCTTCCCTCTCCCTCCTCCTCTTAGCTTGTACAGAATGTTCCCTACTGTTCCTGAAATGCAAAGCAGAGAGACGCAGGGATAGGACAGCCTCTAGCTCCTCCACCACTGCTGAGGCCAATCACTTGGCTGTTCTGGCAGCTGGAAACATACACCCTCTTCAAATCACAAGTCACAAGTCACGGGTTAGACAGCTCTTGTTGTCTTTGGACACCAGTGTTTTTGATGCAACAACAAGCGACTGTTTGCTTAGACCTATGCGTTTGTGAAAGGTTATGTTATTTCTAAAGTGTATGCCAATATTCATATTTTATGCAAGTGAAATGTCCCATTTAAACCTGGCATTAAAATTGTGGTTGACCACATGGAAGTACAGGTATAAATGTGATCATTAAAATCATATCTAGACACAATCTGGATATGAGATGCATTTTAATGCCAGGTGTAAATTGAGTTAAAGTTACTACTATTGTTCTACTAACAGCAATGAAAAGATATACATGTCTGTGTTATTGTGCAGCATTTGATTTGATCATGTTTTTAATTAGAAATGTAAAAAAAAAAAAAAAAAAATGATTAGGTTAAAAGTAGCCTACGTCTTTATATCATTGTTTGTGCCACAAAAATTGTTCACTTTGTCAAGACAACAAACGACAGCGAACTTGTTGACATCATGACGGCTGCCCCAACTGTCGCTGTGCAGAATGCCAACAACAACCTTACCCTTTCTATGGTTCAAATTTGTTTACATTTTAATATTGCTATTTTTTGGTACTAGGGCGAGCGACATAATGTTTTAAAATCCGATTTTTCTATCATCCGTTTTAGGTATTTGTTTATTGTTTGCAGCTTCTCGCGAGAGCTTGTTGTTGAGCTGTGGGTATCTGCACGTATGCGCAAACACTCAGTTACAGTTTCTGAAGGTGGTTAACTTGTCCTGGCAAGTTCTGTGGTGTGAATGCAATTCAGAAAAAAAAAACATGACTAACTAAACATGAAACAGTACATTATCGTGAGAAAAAACGTAGCACTCTTAAAAGTTTCCTTACCTCCTGGCGTGGTGGAAAAGAGGGTCCCACCGGGTGTCTGGCTGTAACAGTCGGGTAGCTGGGACCAGTCCTTCAGGGTGAGCACCCTGGTGGGGATGGGGCAGCTTTTAACTTGATTTGTGCCGGTCGACATGTTAACTTCTGTGTAGCTGCTGCAGACGGAGGGGGACAAGTGTTTTTAAAAACCCTCAAACTCTCGATTTGATGCTCGCTCACAACCTTGTACTAAGACAAAAGATTTCAAAGTTGTCGGCCTTTTAAAACTAACAGTTCCGTTCAGTTAAGTAAAAGTTGTAAAACTTTAACTTGTAAGCTGAGAGTTAAGACAAACTCCGTGGTGTCCGTCGCTACGAGCAGCTACCCAATGCTACCATGTGCTGTATTTGTAGCACAGCTGCAACAGCCACTCGTGATGTTTTTGTGCAGCAGCTCTAAGCCACGTGGGGCAACGGTTATGTGGTGGTGCGATTATTTTCTTGTAAAAGACGGTCCGTGGGGACGGTGATAACAATGTAGTAAGAAAAAAATTGTTTACCAAATATTGATTGTGTGACCAGAGCACAAAACGATGTCAAGACTCAACTGAATACGTGAATGATTTTTTAGTATACCGGATAAAGTAATAAGAAGTTTAAGACCAAGACCCAAAAATTGATTTATTTAGGTAGTTATAGGGTTTTGCTCTAAAACCTGTATAAAACCATAAAATGAGAACAAGTAGAACACAAGGATATACAGAGTAAGGCCGCTTTTTTCATTGATTAATTACAGATTATTTTCTGAGTTAATCAGTCTGCCAAGTATCATAAAGTATTGAAAAATGACTAATTTCCCGAAGCCCAACTTTTTTCAAATGTTTTGTTTTTTCCGAGCAAGTCCACATCCCAGAAATGTTCAATTTGTTATCCTGTATGAAACTTAAAAGCATTAAATTCTCACATTTGAGAAGCTGCAACCAGCAAATATTTGGCATTTGGCATTCAACCCTCATTCTCACATTTATCCACAGCTACCATGAGTTTTGGCAGGGTTTCCAAGTCCTCAGGATATGCTTCAATTGCCTGTTAAAAAGTGAAGATGTGACACCAGACTGTGTCATTCTCACCAAACTGAAATCCGCTTCAGCCCTCTATGTAACACACAGGCGTTCTTTGGATTAAGGTGAAATGAATGGCCATGAAATGTCTCAGAGTGGGGTCAACACGTGCATAAAGAAAATTGTAATCCACGGCTTCTCAGGTTCACAAAACACGCGCACCTCCACTTTGTGCTTGTTCCTTACTCGACAGCACTGCCCTCTACAGGCGTTTTACCATGCAAGTTTTTATTGGACTTCATAATGTGTAACCAACAGAAAACTTACAAATGTGTACTATGATCCCCGGTGTTTCACTGTATCCACAAACATGTTTTTTTCTATTCGTCTTGTGCAAATCATATGCACAAAAACACAGAGAGATTTGCAAATACGCACAACGTAGTCTGTAAACATTTACAAATGAAAGGACCCATTTGTATACGTGAAGTGTGTTTTGCACATTTGTAGATCGCTTCCTGTCAGTATGTAGGTCACGTGACATGTTCGCCTTCCTTCCTATTTTTTTTTGTCCAATTTGTACCCATGTACCCAATACGCAGTTTATCTGTAGAAAAAAAATCCACAAATGTGAGGTGCAGTTACTGGCTGCACCAGCAGATAGCGACATCCCCTAGAAGAAGGATAAAACAAGAGCCCACCAGGCAACCGTACATTAGGAGCATCCATGATTAGGAGACAAGGGGGGTGTACCCCTGATAGCCAGCCTCCACTTCTGATTTTTTCACAAATCACACCCTGAAGTGGAGCATAACCCAACGGTCCTGTCCATCATCTCCAGGTGAGTGTGCTATGCTTTGCTTGCTTATTTACTGAAGTCAACTGCAGTTAGCTAACTTTGTGTTAGCTGTGTAGTTCAGGTGCTATGTGAGGCATGAAAACAGATGCTTACAACTGTAAACTAGGCCAAGTCCTGTATCCACTGTGGCAGCTGCTGCTACTTCTTTCACTTAAGAGTCTACTATTACACTACAATTATTGTATTGTGAAAGTTACTTCTACTCTTGCTATTATATTATTTCCAAACTATTCCTACTTGAACTAGCCTACTGCAAATACTTCAACCACATACACTCCTTCAGCAACCGTTGCTAAACCATCAGGGGCCTAGCAGATTAAAAAGATCAGATGGTAAATCTGACAAGGCTCACTTGACTGTAGTGTACGTTAGCTTCCAAGATTGAAATGGAAGTTTGAGTTGAGCAAGAGTTAGAAATGTAAATGTAAATAATATTTACATTATGTAAATATTAACATTTACATTTTTAACGCTAACATTCAACTTTTACACTATAACACTATAATCCTGCCTCTGAGCAACACTGGAAATTAGATAGATAGATAGATAGATAGATAGATAGATAGATAGATAGATAGATAGATAGATAGATAGATAGATACCTTATTTATCCCCTAGGGGAAATTCATGTGTCCATTATTATACTGTCACCTGAGCTCATTGTCCATATACTCGAATTTATAGGACACCTGCATCAAGGTCATTGACTGGGAGGAGAGTGGCCATCCACACAAACCTGACTTGAAACAAAGGTGTAGAATGTATAAAATATAAATGTTATAGCCTGTATTAAAAACAATAGGTGATTGTGACCAATAAAGCTTGTATCTTTCTTAAAAATAAAATCAAATTAGAGATAAAATATGTGCATTCATGTGCTATTTTTTTAATAATTAAAATGTCTTTTGCTTGTTGTTATTTGTCGGATATTTGACCTTCACTTTGCAGATTGAAGTATGTGCAGAGTTTGACACTAGATTGACTTTAATTAACTTTAACCTTCCAGCACACATACACTGAGAATGGACCATTCAGTCCGAGACATCTTGCAATTAAAAAAAAAAAAGAGAAATATTTGCACATTTACAGATTATATACAATGAAATTCATGAGGGAGAATTAGTGTATATATAGATTTAGCTACATATAGGTAAGAATTTTAACTAGATAATTAATGTTATTCTGTTTTATTTATTTATTTATCTTTTTTTTTGGAGGGGGGGCTACATCAGACAAAGCAGAGTATTTTTAGATGTCTTGCATATCTGGCAGGAAATTCTAAAGTACTTGCAAGCACTGTATTCATTTGTTACCCAAATGTACACGTACATAATATGCAAATATGTAAAACAAAAATATGTGTCCATTTAGTGTCATTTCAACATAAATAGCAAATAGCCTCTAGGATTACTGTAGGTTATTTAGACCACAAGGATGTAAACACAATAGTTACGCAGAATACACAGATGACACATAATTCAAATGTACAAATAATCTGTTTAAAAGGAAAGAACAAATAGATAAACACTGCAATGGAAATGACATCGGACACTGTGGTGACTTCCTGTAACGTGTTTTTTTTATATATCGGATATAAGGGGGGTGAAAAACCTAGGGCAAACCCGCTTCGGCTGCTCATTGGTCCAGAAATATGGAATCAGATGACGTAGTGGTTCCGGGTTTCTAGGTCCTCAGAAAAGGTAACTTTCGGTCATTTCTGGGCGGTAGGGAAACGGTTGATGCCTACGGCTGGAGGTAAGAACGCAGCAAGCCTGCCAGTTAAACAGGGTATCACTCTCTAGCTGGCCGCTGTAATCTCATTACCGCCTTTATCCGTTTGTAGATTTACATTAGGGTTAATTTGTGTTGGCAATGTTGAAAAGGTTTTAGCCACATCCTCAGCAGCTAACGTTAATCAACTTGACGTCGGTTGCTCAATGATAGCTGTACCAGCAGCGTGTGGCGGCTTTTGTCATCGTTTCGTCTGCCATCCCGCTCCTCTCCCATTGTCACATAACCGCTGATTAACGTATTAACAAAGGGGTTAGATTCACCTCATACGTTATCGTAATTTTTGAAGATGGCCAATTCTGATAAAGTTTATTTTTCATTGGAGCTTTTTATGGTTTCTAAACGTTCTTGTGATGAACTTGGGCATTCCCTGTTAGCCTATATATATTTAACTATATGTTAATTCTGTTGGTTAAATTAGCCATATCCGCGCAACCCGAATACTTTATGTTGCCATGGAAATAACACAGTCATATGTGATGAGTGTATGACAGGAAAAGTGGACTACTCAGATCAAATATGCCGTCATTACAGTCCGGTCATCGATTTGGCATTAGTCTTGCTCAAGTCATATTCATGTATTTAAACTATATGATTTTTATGTTATTTATTCGAGCCACACTGACGAAAAACGAAGCTCTGAACTCACTGACCACAACGGCTGTAATATCTGGTAGGCAGTCAAAAATGTTTCAGGTTTACTACTGGAGTACATCCAGATTTCTTGAAGATATACAAACGTGTGACGTGGACCAGAGATAATACAGATATGATTCACTGAAATCTTAATCACACTATGTGGTAAGCCTCCGGGAAAGGGAGGGTAACATCAATACACTTCTGACATCATAACACGTAGATACTGTTACTGAGTAGATATAGACCAGTAGTGATGTGAATGAATACCCATAAGAAAAAGGAGTTTTTTCCTTTTAGATGTAGTGGGGATCATATCTCCATATCTGTTTTGTGGCATGAAAATAGGTCCCATATGATTGCTGACAGTTGTAAGCTACAATTACTTTATTACGCAGTGTGCGTTTGCATTCCTTTTCCTGTTTCAGCTGGTTCTGTCACTTGTCAGTTATTTACCTTGATTATTGATAATTGATACTTTGTTGAAAATTGGTTAAGAGTGCAACATTTAGTTTTAACTCCTTCATCTACCCTGCACTGTATGGTTATTGGTGAGCTAAGCTTGACCTAGAGTGGCCTTTCACGGACCACAGAGTGGGGTGAGGCTTAAGAGTATTGTCATTGGTTGTCCACAGCTCGATCCTCTTCAGCATAGCTCACAGGGCTGTGGTCATCAGGCAGTGGTCAGTCTGTTCAGAGGGGCCATGTCTCAACACTGCTTCATCCCTCCGTGACCTCTCAGACCTCTAACCCACCCTTTACTGTTGAAAGGGAGGCAGGTGTTTGAAAACTATGAGGGAGGGACCTTAAACTATTGCAACACACCCATGTAGGAGGTCTCACTTAAAACTGAACTTTGAAAGCTGACAGACACACAGAGGCTGTTTAATTCACAGCAAGAGGGAGGTGAGTCTGATGAGTGCTGAGTGTAGAGGCAGCATAGCACAGTCCTACCGGGTGTATGAGGAGGTTTTCAAGAGATTGACATCCAGACACTGATGGTAGATAATCTCTGGGTTGGTCTGCTGATTCACAAACCATTGTTTTGAAGGGGTTCCGTTTTTCTTGTGAGAAGTCTGCTGCCAGACATAGATTAACCAACTTCCTCCATGGCTGTTGGCAAGTGATATTTGGTGTGAAAAACAATGTTTTTATTGCTCTGATTTTTGACTTGTGAAATGCTTTGATTAATGGTAGTTATTTCAAATGTGTTTGATCACCCTGTCTGATGATATTTTCTTTTCCCTTTTTTCCCTTTTCTAGGTGTAACATTTGAGTGATTGTGGACCAAACAATTTTTAATATTACAGCTGTGGGATTTTTAAAATTGTTTATTCTCTGGGCTTTTCTCTTTCTGAGACTTCCCTTCTGACGCAATTCTCCTTACACGCATTAAACATCTTTGGGACCAGTGTACCATACAAAACTAGTGTGACAACCACTGCTGCTCGTTTCCCCTCCCTGCGCACTCTGCCAGAGAACAGCATGGGTCTTCAGGCAGACTCAGCACTCCAATCTATTCTCCTCTTTCCAATCCACCTTCTGGTATGGCTGTACTCCGTCCTGTCCTTTCTACCCTGGTACTACGTCACCGGTGCCGGGCAGAGACAAGCTTTGTCCAAGCGGATAAAGGCCCGCTCCATCTCAGGCCGTGCTGAGGGACCATACCGATCTGTGGACCATTTCGACTGCCTGGCCAGGGAGGACTTCCCAGGCAAGGACACGCTGGATAAGCTTTTCGAGTATGCTGTACAGCGATTTGGAGAAACACATTGTCTCGGTACCCGTGATATTCTGAGTGAAGAGAATGAGATTCAACCCAGTGGTAAAGTTTTTAAAAAGGTAAGGATTCCTGCTACTATATTCTTTTGGTGAGGGATACTTTTGAGGACAAATATATCTAATGTTGCATCTGACTCTTTTTCCTTCAAGCTGATCCTTGGGGAGTATAAATGGCTGTCCTACAATGAACTGGATTCTATAGTGAGTAAGTTTGGCAGTGGATTGGCAGCTCTCGGACAACAGCCCAAAAGCACCATTGCAATCTTCTGTGAAACCAGAGCAGAGTGGATGATCACTGCCCAGGCGTGCTTCAGGCGTAATTTCCCATGTAAGGATATTCTGTCTGAACAATACAGTACAAGATGTTATCTGACAGAGTATGAATAATCTTATCAGCTGCTGTTGATATGTTTTGGCTCACTGGGTGTTTTGTTTTCACAACAGTGGTAACATTCTATGCCACACTGGGAGAGGATGCTATTGCATATGGACTGAAAGAGACTGGTGTTACACATCTAGTCACCAGTGTGGAGCTACTTGAGACTAAACTGAAAGTGAGTTAATCCCTTACAACACATGAATAGAACCACTCATTTTGATCAAGTTTTTTCTCATAAAATATCTCATAAAATATCTGAAATATCTGTCTGCGTACATGATCATTTGGGACTAAAACCTCAAACTTGGTATGGTGGAAAAGTAAATCGCTTTAACTTCTCACAAGCTTCTAAGGCCATATGGACACATGAATGGATGAACACAGTATCTGTTATTCAAACTGGACAGGAGACATACTCCATTATTAAATGAATGGCTTGCAGTGTTAATGTGTACTTGTATTTTCAAGCTGGTGTAGTTTACAAAATAAGAATGAATGAAATTCATTATGGCAGTTATTTTCAACATGGTATACTTGTTCAGCCAGTTTTAAATTAGGTACAGCAAAATGTGGTCTGTGTCAATGTGAGAAATGACATTGCTTTACATGAGCTCTGTGAATGCATTGATTAAAATCCTCACATCCCCCCAGAATCCTGGGTTAAGATAATATCAAAAGGAAATGAATGGAATATGTTGTAAAATACTTTAGATGAATATGATAGCATCTCAGACCGACTCGAAAAATTCCAAACTTCTTTTAACATATTTGTGGGTCTGACAGTAGTTCCAGCGGAGATTTCTTTACCATGTCAAGCTGCTGCTCATTGTAAAGATTATGTCAATGTATATGGACCTAAAATTTCTTTTTCATGAAAGATTATCATGTGATTTGGCATCCTGTTTTGATACCAGTGTTGTCCTCTCTTTCTGTCCAGAATGTGCTTCCACAGATCCCAAAACTGAAGCATGTGATCTACGTGGACCAGAAGAAAGCGAGCACAGAAGGCTACCCAGCAGGACTCTCCATCCACAGCATGGAGGCTGTACGAGAGCTGGGCGCGCTGCCTGAAAATAGTGTGTATTTCTCTGACTCACCTTGGTTGTGCTTTGTTTTTTTGTCAAATTCCAAGTTGAAATATCTCACATACAGTGAAATACAATAACTGATTGTTTGTCCTGCAGTGGGGAGGGCAATTGTGAAGCCCCAGCCTGCTGATCTGGCTGTGGTGATGTACACCAGTGGCTCCACAGGCAGACCCAAAGGAGTCATGATTGTCCACAGTAATCTGATCGCAGGAATGACAGGACAGTGTGAGCGCATCCCTGGTCTCGGGTGAGTTTGAGTATTGGTCAGTATATAGAGAATGAATTTGTAATGTGTGCACAGCAGAGTTTCTGCACAGAGTTCAACTAAGCCCAGCTTCACAGCTCTTACTGAAAAGCACATCTCCAAAGCTCCTTTATCTATTCCAACATAAACAACATCAGCTTAGAAAAAGACAAGCGGATGACCGTAGAATTTTCCATATAAATCAGTGCCATGACTGGATTCCAGCAGCAGAATAACCAGAAAGAACCACACTCTAAAAGGTTCAGTGTTGAAAGTTGGAAAGAGGAACACAAAACGTGTAACCTTTACTTTCTCTTCCCTGTGTTCCCGCAGGCCTGATGATACTTACATAGCCTACCTGCCGCTGGCTCATGTTCTGGAAATGACAGCTGAAATCTCCTGTGTCACATATGGCTGTCGGATCGGCTACTCATCCCCGCAGACACTGTCAGACCAGGTAATACCCAGCACCAACACCAGGTCTTACGCTGTATCTGTCAACATGTATGCTATATTTGGTTATTACCTGGGCACCTTGGTGTGGTCATTATTGCAGTTAGCTTAATCGTTGTTGTTTAATGTAATCAGTGCCTTCAGCTGTTTTTCCCCTGTTCCCTTTAGTCCACCAAGATAAAGAAAGGAAGTAAAGGAGACAGCTCAGTACTCAGACCCACACTGATGGCAGCTGTGCCAGTAAGAATCCTGTGTTATATTCTTTTTTTTCTTTCCATTACTCACAACCCTGCTCTCCCTTGCTCAGTTTTACACACTTTTTTTCCCTTACTCATCATCCAATGTATAAGTTAATCCTGTATGTTTTCTCCTGAACAGGAAATTATGGATCGCATCAACAAGAACGTGATGAGCAAAGTGCAGGAAATGAGTTTCATTCAGAAGACTCTGTTTACTCTGGGCTACAAGTATAAACTAGAGCAGATCAAGCGGGGCTATGACGCACCACTCTGCAATGCGTAAGAAACCACTATGTTTCCCTCAGTGCCTTAAGAAATAGTGTGTTTGTGTTGCTCATCTTGAAATCAAACACACAGCAATCTTTCTTTGCAGTCTCTTATTCCGGAAAGTCAAGAAACTTCTGGGAGGAAGAGTGAGGATGATGTTGTCAGGAGGAGCCCCACTGTCCTCAGCCACTCAAAGATTTATGAATGTATGTTTCTGTTGTCCAGTGGGCCAGGGCTATGGTCTCACAGAAACCTGTGGAGCAGGCACCATCACAGAGGGTAAGACAGGATTTAAAGTGTAGAGTAAGAAGAGAGAGTAAAGGTGGGAATTAACAATGTCATTAAGATATTATGTCTTTTTATACAGTTGTGGACATCAGCACTGGTCGCGTTGGAGCTCCTCTCATATGCTGTGAGGTCATTCTCAGGGACTGGGCTGAAGGTATGGCTGAAAAACATCTTGGTACAGGCTGTACTTACAGTGCAGAATGAAAAGTATTATTTAATTGCAGAGTAATTATGTGTTAACTATTTAATTTGCCACTTTATCTCAGGTGGATACACCAGCAAAGACGAGCCGAACCCAAGAGGGGAGATCCTGATCGGTGGTCCCAATGTAACCATGGGTTACTACAGGAATGAAAGCAAAGATCAGGACTTTTTTGTGGATGAAAAAGGGCAGAGATGGTTCTGCACTGGTGATGTAGGAGAGATTTACCCAGATGGCTGTCTACAAATAGTGGGTGTGTATATTCCCAAACCAGTTACACATTACCTAGGGACATGACAATCATCTGACGGTGCTTGTAAAAGGCACTCCTTTCATACTCAATTTCATAGCCCTAATATGCAGTCAATGTGGCCGTAACTTTAAATGGAAAACTGTTTGTACTTGGAACAGCAGCACTGTTGTAAACACATATTTATTTTCTCATTTAGACCGCAAGAAAGACTTGGTCAAACTGCAGGCCGGGGAGTATGTGTCTCTTGGTAAAGTCGAATCTGCGCTGAAAAGCTGCCCTCTCATAGACAACATTTGTGCATACGCAAACAGGTGAGATGAACTTGATCTGGTTGGATATGTACGGAAGCACAATGCATTTGAGGAAAAAAAAGTGCAATTTTTTCTGAACTATTATTTCATGTGATGTCGTTAATTCAGAAAAACATAGGATATCTTTTAAGAAAATTTTCCTCAGAATTCTGAGACATGATCTCATTAATTCAGAAAAACAGAGCAGGAATTAATTTTTCTCAGGTGAATGCATTATGCTTCTAGAGATATGAGATCAAACCATCATATTTCCAATTTCTACAATGCCTTTCAAAATCTCAAAATACTGTCTACAGAGGATATAAAGAAATGTTAGTGTGAGGAATGAGGTGTAAACATATCACCTGACTTATGGAAAGACAGCCTGAGGCATATCCACGTTATATGACAAACACTGTTTAATGCTGTTTGATACATGTTGAACTTCAACTGGTACTTTTTTACTGAACTTCACTCAGTGCTTATAATTGAATTAACACTTCAACTTCTTACAGCACTTTCTTTTGAACTATTATTTCAGCTTTCACTTTTGTGTTTTGAATTCCACCTTAACTATCACTTCAACTGAGTATCTCACCTATTCTCAGTGTTCAAACTGCAAATTTCCAGCAGTGAGCAGTGACTTTTATCAACCTTGTTCCTAATGTTCATCCTTGCAGTGACCAGAACTATGTGATCAGCTTTGTGGTTCCCAACCAGAAAAAGTTGACAGAAATGGCCAAACAGAGAGGCATTGTGGGAACATGGGAGGAGATCTGCACTCACCCCGACATGGAAAGAGAAGTTCTGAAGGAGATCAAAGTTGTTGCTGCTAACAGTAAGAGCCGACCATGCACACTCCTTTTATGCATACTTTTTTATTTCCGTCCTTATCTCCACCTCTAACCTCAAGTTCTTTTTGTGTTCTATGTACCAATGTTTTAGTAGAAAAGAGCAAATTATTCATTCCACTATGCTGTGATAAATTTGAGTGAGTATCACTGTTCTCTTCCTCTTCACTTTTCATCCAGTTAAACTCCAGCGATTTGAGATTCCAGTGAAGGTACATCTGAGTCCAGAGCCGTGGACCCCAGAGACCGGACTTGTGACAGATGCGTTCAAGTTGAAGAGGAAAGAGCTGAAGAACCACTATCTCCACCACATAGAGAGAATGTACGGGGGCAAATAACTTTGACAATTTCACCCAAGAGTCCCAGTTATTATCATAGCCACTGTTCTGATGTGTAGATAATTTTTCCTGGTACCTACTTTGGTTTTTCATGCTATTTGTGTACCACAGACATCCAAATGGAAACGTTGTGAACAGAGAAGCTGAAGCTGTAGATAGTTGTACCTGTTTATCCATATGTGCTGCTTTTTATTTGTGTGTGTTGAAGTTTTGATTGTCAAAGAGATGCACCTATGTGGCAGCTCTTACTCCATGAGAAGGGTTTGAGACCATTATAGCACTCAACTGCCATCCACTCAAATCTGCTGGCACTCTGTAGCTGATAGAGTACCACTGTCCTCCATATATTGCCAACGCTTTGTTGTTACTTCCATTGAAAATATTAACTGTAATCATCGCAGTCGCTTTTAAAGTTGTTTTGTTAAGTTGGAGTACTGATGTTACTGTGCCTTCAGTCTGCAGTACTTGTGTAGTCAAGCAGAAGTAAGTGGCATCTATATAAAAACAAATAGTTTGTGTTTATTACAAAAATGGCTAAACTGCCATGTTAATGTTTACTTGAGGCTTTAGGAAAAATATCCCAACGCAGAGATAAACCAACATGGATCATAGAGAAAGTTACTCATGATCATGTCTGCTTATCCTTTTTTTTTTTGACCAATGTTTTATTTATTCAGTTGTTATTGTGTCAGTTTATTGAGAAAGTAAGACCAAAATGTGTAAACATAAATGACTCAGGAAGATAAGCAAATGTTTTAATATATGAAATCGTCAAATAGTGGGTTGCTCGCGTAGAAAGCACTTCCGTCAAAATTGTGGGCACCTTATTTATTTGAGCGCAGGATTGCTTAACTACTAACTAGTTACTAAAAATGCTTCTAAGCTATAGTCAGACCTGGCATACTGTAATACTGTACGTATTTTACCTCAGTTAACAGGTTAATGTACAATTTGGTATCAAATGGTTAAGTCTGTGCATTTTAATATTATAGGAGTGTTTTCTATGTATTTTTCAAAGTGTTGTGTTGATGTATTTGCACCACTAAACCTTTAAGGAAGCAGACATTGACAGTCACTTTACAGTTGGTTGTTCGGTGATCCTATTTGTATTTATTACTCCATCATTATGATCACATGCCTTGGTCAACATTTCAAAAATAAAAAACATTTTTTCGTAATCAGTGTTGTGTATTTTTTTTTATTTTATTACAAAATCATAGAAATAAACCATGCTAATTTTTCAACATTAGCATAAAGGAGGAGAGCCTCAGTTGTTCCAGTCTTGAAATCGGAAACAGTCACTAGCGATCTTCCAAACAGGCTGGTCATTGTTGGGTGAAGCCTGAGCTGTTAAAAGGAAATTCTGGTTGAAGAAACGCGGTTTGTTCCCTTCAAACTTGACTGTACCACCAGTCACCACAAGCAGTGTAGTCTGGCCTTGGGTTGCTTGTTCTGAGAATGAAGAAAGGGTAGATTGATGAGTGATTACTACATCACAACCATACCTTCAGTAGAAAAACATCACATGTTGATATCTTCACACTTTAATTTGATAGATTTAATGCACTGCATCATTTGTACACGGCTCTCTTCTACTCTGGGGAACAGAGGGGAAAATCCACCTGACTTGCACTCATGTACAGTCTATTACAGAATACTTCCACCACTGTACAGTGCATGTCCGGCACATAGTATAGCTATAGATCTATCTTTAGGCTCTATTTTCATTTATGTTTAGTTTTCTACTTCATACAGGTATTTAATATAATTTATCCTTTAACTGCATTGTTTGTTACCTCGGTCATTGTCTGTTGCAACACTGCAGTTTCCCCTTAGGAATTAGAAAGTAATCAATCTAAACATATTTGAGAATGACCATTAGCACTTGAAAGGGCTTTGTGTTTGTCCCACTAACCGTGAACTGGCTGACAGTCCAGTGTGTGAACTTGGAACTCGCTTGATGGCAGCGACTCAAAAAACTCTCCCAGAGAGTCCTGTCCTGACACTGCATTGCCGTTCCACACCAACGTTGCCTTGTCCAGGTAGAGTCGGGTCAAGTTCTGAGACATAGGAGCCAGTAAATAATGACAGTTAAGAACAGGAATAACAGCAACATATGACTTCAACCACAAGCAGAACATAGTGTATACTGGTATCTATATTTGAGAATTTAAAAAAAAACATCAGTTAACAATTTATCAGATGAGATTATTTTTTGATACAAACAAAATATTCATGAGGATCCCTTAAATTTCATTATTACAGAAATGTGACCAAGCTAAAGACATGGCCAAAAGTTTTAATACCCTTACACCTCAATTAAACAATGCTGTGTTCTTCCTGGAAAGTGTTCAAAGTAAAATCTCTTTCATCATGCATACCTGCATGTCTTTGGTAAAATGGCTTGGACAGAATTATTGGTACCTCTGAGAAGTGTTGATAAAAGTGGACTATAATAATATTTTAAGCAGCCTTGTCATCAATTAGTATCACAGGTGTCTTCAATCTTACATCAGTCTGCCATCCCATTTACATGTAAAAAGTGCTCATTGTGCTGTTTGGTATCATTGTGTGCACCACACTGAGTGTGGACATAAAAAAAGAAGAGACTGCAAAATAGATATAAGCTGATCTCCACAACCAAGGTACAACAGCCCTGTCTCAGCTGCAAGTCTTGGCTCCTCCAACAGGTTAATCACCCAAAAACTTACATCTAAAAGCTGCCAAGAATGGATAAGAGGAAGACAGGACTGTTCCGATGTGGCCTGTTATGAGTCAAGAATCTTAATCCAAATGAATATCTATGGAAAGAGCTGAAACTGCAGTGGGGATAAGGTGCCCATCAAACCTGAGAAAACTAGAGCAGTTTGCTCAAGAAGAGAAGTGTACAAGTCTCATTAAGTAGTACTTGATTGGTTAAAAGGATGTGCTACAAAATATTAGGTCCCAATTTCTTTGTCCCTGTCATTTTCATTTGTTGTATAATTAAAAAAAATATGTTGCATCAAAAATCACATGTGGCGTCTATTCTACAAAACACAACAGAGAAGAGTGGATGCTGAATACATTTTAATTTCAACTTATTTCAAAGAAAAGGAACCAATACTTTTAGCCACGTCTGTATATGGTGACTGAGACATTTTAAGTTGTCACTGCTCTCTAGTGAGCAAACAGTGCATTACTATTACTGTCTGACACCTCAATCACACTGGTTATTGTTGTTTTATTTGTCAGATGTATACATACCAATACTGATACAGTAACCTCAATCAGCCGATAATATTGGTCATATTGGCTCACTTGTGCTCATTTAAAATAACTGGATAAAAAAAAACATCCAACACAGACCATTACTCACCCTTCTTTTCTTGTCCATGCAGTCGTAGTAAATGTTAACAAATTCCTCTGAATATCTGCATGACTGGTCAACATGGGTCCTGAAATCCTGTTGTGACAATTACTTATTAAATGCTGACCACGATCGTGAAAAACAACAAGTGAAGTTATTTGCGACTGTTTATTGTAAAAGGCGCACATTGGAAACTGGCTAGCTAGCAAAACACTGCGTTAGCTGGTTGATTTCAGTATAAACGTGTAGCGAAAGTTTCAAACTTACCAGCGTGCTAGTCATGACTACAGATATACCGATGAAAACAGTGGCACTACCATCAGATGGATAGTAGTAAGTCTTTTCTTGCATCAAGTTCAGGTGGCTTTCTTGTTCACTTCGTAGCCAACGCAGCCATTTTGTGGCATGTATTACTTCCTCCGGGCACCAGCTCAACCTACCAAAATAAAATATTTGTAAGGAGGACATGCTTCTATTTTGAGGTTTATTGGCATGAATATATGAATATATAATGTATTAAAATATATTTTTTAAAAATACAACGTATATCCTCTCAATCAAATTACTCAATTTAAGATTGAAATAGGATTTGGTAGCACTCATATCTTGAGTTATTTTGTAGAATATTATTAATTAAAAGTGTAGGCTACTTTTATGTTTTTATCTTTCTTTATGCCTCATATGATGACGACCCTGTCTGAATGGCTTTCCATATTTACTGTAGGAAAAATTATAGTATAATGATTGAATGAATAATCAGGTTTACAGTGGTGGACAGTATGTACTTTTAATTATATACTGTACTTAAGTACAATTCATTAAGTATTTCATTTTATATTACTTGTACTCCACTACGTTTTATTTTACTGGGCTTCATTTATGTTACAACTAAAGCTTGTTACTTTGCAAATGAAGACAAAAAAACACATTAAGCTTATAAAATAGGCCACATTAGTCAAGATGAAATATTTTCTAAGCTCTAAGCTACACAAAGAGGTACAATTCTACATTGTTTTACTAAATAAATAATAGAGATAAGTTGACTCAAGAAAACAAACAAAATAAAAAAGCCACTGTAAATTTGTATAATCTGTATGAAATAACAACCCCTTCCGATTTATATAGTGATCCTTTGAAGGGGCATGGTCTAAAATGCAGATAACGTAGTTAAAACTAGCTCCACTTTAAGTTTTAACAGTCTCTTTATATAATGTATGGCTGTCTACAGAATCAGATTTTCAGCTAAATGAGTACTTTTGGTTTTGATACTTAAAGTACATTTTGTTGATAATACTTCACTTAACATAGGTGGGATTTTTTAAAGAGGACTTTTATTTTTAACAAAGTGTTTTTACATTGTCTCATTGTCAGGTAACACCACTAACGGTATTTTAATTTGAAGAGCAAAAAAAATCTCGCTATGCGGAAGTAGAGTTCATGATTTCCTGAGTCATTGCTCCTCTGGTTTAAAACTGAAACGAAACAACTCCAAAGCAGTCACACTGTTGGCTGTTGTCAATTTAGTTTGACACTTTGTTTGAGTATATTTAAAAATGGAGGGTTCTGTATCAAATGTGGAGGTCTGTAATTTTGCTTACACGGGGCAGTTTGAGAAATTAAAACAGTGTATTCTGTCAGATAAAACGCTTGCCTGCAAAACGGACCAGGTAAGAGCGCACGACCCAGCAAACCCAAGCGGCATTTGCTTATATTAGCCTGCTAATAGTGAAATAATAACAAATGCCAAGTGAAAATTTCTACGTCTTCATTCGCGACATTCTGTATTTTCAGGATCGTAGAACCGCCCTTCACTGGGCTTGTTCTGCTGGACACACCAACATTGTGGAGTTTCTGCTTGACCTGGGAGTTGAAGTGAATCTGCAAGATGATGTACACCTATTTTTTCTGTAAAATGTTTTTATTTTTTCTGTGTAAAACCAAGTGTGATACCGTGGTTTTGTCCTCTAATGTGGTGAATGGGATGATAGGTCATACTAGACAGGTGCACCCCACAATTGAATAACTCCTACAATAACAACAACCACCCAAATTGGGCCTTAAAAATAGTACATTTTATTTATAGTAGCCATATAAAAATGTTTAATCTAATTCTGTTTTTTTTCTTAATATCAAAGTCTAATTTGTATTGACATTTAATTTCACATAATGTCTTTTTTCCTGTCATACACGTGTGTGTGTGTGTGTGTGTGTGTGTGTGTGTGTGTGTGTGTGTGTGTGTGTGTGTGTGTGTGTGTGTGTGCGCGCGCGCTTTAATTTTTATTACATTAATAAGTAATCTAACGATTATCCAATTCCTTTTGTTTTGTGAAATGACCATATGTGATGTGTCACTTCCCAGGCTTCGTGGTCTCCTCTTCACATTGCTGCATCTGCAGGCAGAGAAGACATAGTGAGATCTCTAATATCCAAAGGAGCTCAGCTGAATTCAGTTAATCAGAATGGATGCACCCCTCTGCACTATGCCGCCTCTAAAGACAGATATGAGGTAAATTTCCCACTTTGCAGTAATATTAGCTAATACTTTGATCCATATGATGCCACATGACTGTACTATATGCTTGTAATCTTACATTTGTATTCTGTGTCTGCAGTGTCTTTTAAGTAGCTTTATAAATGTAATTTTGATTATATTTTATTCATAATAGTGATATATTTCCAATATCTAGATCAATGTATTTCTAGATATATTTAGCCATATTTTTAGAATAGCAACAAATTGCTTATTAATCAAGTGTTAAATCAACAGAGCAGTAGTAGGAAACTTTTTTTATAATCCATTAATTATTTAAGACATTTTAAGCAATATATTTTAAATACTCTTTATATACTTAACAGGATGTTAAATTAGATATTGTTAGATTTTGGACCTTGAGCATTTTTAATTGTTTTCTTATATTATATTGGCCAAACTATTAATAGAAGAAATAATCAGTAGATTAATTGATTTTCTCTTGTTGGGGTAGAATTATCACTCTGATAATAGGTACAATGGGAAGTTCCCACTTGTACTCTTTTACTCTTTTCCATTTATTTGAAACCGAAACCAGAACCAAACCATATCCTACGTCATCATGATGATGACATCACAGATTTAGGAAAGAGCGAGAAAGCCACACAGAAAGTGGGCATCCCCCCCTTTATCTTAAGTCTTTAATAAAGATTGAAAGAAGTGTCCAACTTATTGCCACATTTAAGTTAGTATGTCGGTACCTTCTTATACTGAGAGAAAATTAGTTTAAAAAGACCATGAAAGTTTAGATTATTTTGTTTTCAAATTTTTTGTCTTTTATATATTATACATTTTCAAGGCAGTATGAGGAAAGTTAAGTTGTTAAAATCAAACACTGACTTTACCTATTCAAGAGAGGTTTATGTTTTCAATTTTATTCTAGATGTTATTATAGTCAGTGACATATGGTCTGAAAAACTTGCGCTGACATTAATATTAACTTCTCTAAATGCCAACCCTTTTAGCTTTGTATTTATTTAGCTATATAACTGTGTGTTTCTGTCACACCTAACATGCATACACACACAGTAAGAAACATTATTTAGCTAACCTTTGGGACTCCCTCCTTGCTATCAGCTATCAGCTAATAAGCATAATTTTAACAGTACTTGTAAGTCTGGTGTGTAAAAATGCCAAAGAAAGAAATGCACCTCTCTCCTAAGTACCCTGCTGTCATCCTTTTGGCTTGTACACCTCTCGCCACTACAGAGGAGGACAATGTGCAGAAAGTCACAAAAACACTAGACATCTGAATGGTAAATGGTAAAAAAATTTGTTGGATGAAACAAGCAACTTTACATTATTTTCCATAAGTTTAAAAATATGTTTTCATTTGAGATTAACAGACATTATTCCACCCACAGTGTTTCCACTAATATCAGGGATTCTAGGCCTAAGTTTTAGTGTCTCTTCCTAATCAATACTGGAACTGTGGCCTGCCTTTCCAGGAACTGAAAACGTGTATTTCATGTAGATGGAAAATCACAGAATTTAAAATAAGGATGCCTGTCAGTGACTCCTGAGTAAAGCAGCTTTCACTCTTTATAGATTGCCTTGCTGTTGTTGGAAAACGGAGCAGACCCCAATGCCACTGACAAGTTGGAGTCCACTCCCCTTCACAGAGCATCCGCCAAGGGCAACTACCGTCTCATCCAGCTGCTTCTCAAACAGAGCGCCTCAACTAACATCCAAGACTCACAGGGCAACACACCACTGTAAGTGTGAATAAAATATTTGTGTAATACAGTATTGATGCTGCTGGCATAAACCTTTAAAGGGTCAATTCACCTAAATTAAAAACATGCTTTCTCATTTCCTTTCATTTACTTTTAGTGGTATCCAGCCATGCTGATTGTTTCTGTTTTATTTGCTTTGAATTTGAGATATCAGTCTCAGAGATTTTTACCTCCACCTTAATTTAAAAATGAAAAGTATTCTTGTATTTACAATTCTGCATGCATTTTTTTTTTCACCAGCCACCTAGCATGCGATGAGGAGCGTGTGGAAGCAGCCAAGTTGCTGGTAGAACACGGAGCCAGCATCTACATTGAGAACAAAGAGGAGAAGACCCCCCTCCAGATAGCCAAGGGTGGTCTAGGCAACATACTTCGTCGGATTGTGGAGGGGTGATGCATTTACTGACCTGCAAGTCCTATTCCGGCTCGATTCCCCACCATTGCCAAGTTACATAATGAGAATTCTGAGCCCAGTCAATCCTCTTTGAGCGGCCTGGTGTGACACATTTAGATGTGTAACGTGTGGAAGATGAGACAGAAAGGGAGAAAAGTTGGGCTGAACTGCTGAGTCCAACAGCTCCTCAGCATGGGATTTGAAGCTGAGCAGACCTTAGATGTCTGAGCAAAAAGACTGTCCTGCACTAAGCGCAGTCTAACACTGCAGCCTATTTTCTGTGAAGTCTGAATTGGTCACAAAAATGACTCAATAAAAATCAGCTAACGTTGTTTGCTGTCTGTCTTTTGACCTATTGTCAGGTTTGATGGTTTAAGCAATAGTTGCCCTCTATGCAGAGGGCAATGTTTACTCACTCCCACTGCAAATGGTGTGCCATTTGTGTCATTAATGCAGAGGAGCAGGCATACATTGAAAGGGTTTAGGAAAATAGTTATGGCAAAAATGCGAGTCACTGTGGAATAGCACAGGTCATAGGAAGGAGCTCCAGCAGGCTTTGAGGGCTAATTACAAGCCAGAATTATAGACTGGGCTGTATTCTTTGAAAGGCAACTTAAGACATGCTGAAAATCTTGTTTTCAAAGACCTTCAGTGGTTTAAACTCTCCCCTTATTGCGATGATGTACAGGAGTGCTCAGGTACCCTGTGATATCATTGTTGAGTGTGGTTACAGGTGCAGCAAAGCTCACTTGTAATTACTTGTTATATTCCACCACTGTCAACAAATGTGAAGGGCAATACAAGCATAGCATAGATATATACCTGTCCTGGAACAGCAGATGTTAATGAAAAATAAAATTAGAATGAAAGTAACCTGTTAAACCATTAAACATGGGGTTTTATGGATGTTATTTTATTGGGAAAACCCCCACCTTAACCCTGCTAAAGGTCTAGTTTTCATGACCTTACTGTAGTGATGTACAGGTGTGCTGCAGTACCCTGTGATATCACAGTTGTGTGTGGTTGCAGGTGCTATTAAACACACTTTTGACCACACTTAACCATCAGTGATGTTGTAGTGGACTTTAAGATTTGGATTATTTTTAAAGCATGTCTCAGTTTTCCACCTTTCCATTTATCTCTTTATGAACCTGGACATTGCCTTAAGATTATCAAGCAAGGCAGGTATTCAGTTCAATTTTGAAATTGTAAAAGTACAAAAGAATTATCAGTAAATTTTACTTAAAAGTAAAAGTACCCATTATACAAGTGGTTTCTGTCAGAGTAACAGTATATTATAATAATAATGGAAAATGATTAATGATGTATTAGCATGTAAAAAGCATTGTAATGTAACAAGCCAAGGTGGAGCATCATTTTACTATCTCATTTAAAAGTAATATTAAAGTAATTATAGCTTTCAAATAAATAAGGTTGAGTAAAAAGTGTTTCCTTCATAAATTAATAATAATAATAATAATAATAATAATAATAATATAAGAGGAAACTTAAAGTAGCAAAAAAATTTAAACTGCTCAAGCAGCATACACGTACCTCAGTATTGTACTTAAGTAAATGTAACTACTTTGTTTTATTCCACAACTGACTACAAATGTGAAGGGCAATATAAGCATGGCATGTGCCTGTCCGGGAATAAGCCATGCTAATAATGAATAAAATCAAAAAGATAGTAAACTGTTGAGTAAAAACGAGCGGGGTTTATGGGTTTTTTTGGGAAACCCCCCACCTAGACCCCGCGAAAGGTCTAATTTCGGTGACGTCACAATTGGGTCAGCCCACGACGAGAAGATGCGCATTTTCAGCCCCGATGCTCTCACTTCCTGAAACCGAGGTCACCTATAAGGAGTAGTTCTCTTTAATCATTGGTGTCTCCTGTAGGCGGTGTCCACACCAAAGACTGACGGGAATTAGAAACGGAGGAGCTGGCTGTAAGGTATTAAAAGGTTATTATTGAAGTTTTGCAATGATACAAAGTAACTTTTTGACCTAACGTTACGTAGAATATGTAAGCTATCCTTGCTAGCTAACGGTTGTCGCTAGCGTGAGATGATATCTTGAAACTCCTGCTTATTAACCTAACATTACAGTGTGAGAGCACCGATCAAAGTCTAAAACAGTTGTTTTAGACCCTACTGAGCTAACACCGAACCCATGTTATTGCTAAAAGTACGCCACTGAGGTAATGCAGTGTGTGCCTGGTTAGCTAAGTGCTAGCTGTCAGATGAAAGCAGCAGTCAGTTTGCTTTCATCGACGCTTACCCACCAGAGACTATGGGCTGTTTTGTCGCTATTGTTAAACACAAAGCTGCGTGACTGCGTTTCTCGAGTTTTCGGGGGCCAGTATATGCAGTCTAAACTTTAATAAGTTAACGCTAAGTCAAGATAGTTCGTGGGTTTCTAAGTTATGACTTGTTATCACATGGTTAAATGCCTCTGACAGCAAAAAAAGGAGTTGGTACTGAATACAGATCTAGGAAGTGTGTTTACAAAAGCCTCAGCTGTTACCTTACACAAATTTATACCTAAACGTGGCTGTTTGTTTAGGTGACTAGTTTTTGAAAAATGGCGATGCGTAACATAGTACAAAGATCACAAGCTTCACTCCACTCAGTCCACTCAATAAAGTTAAGAAACCGGTAGATCAATAAATAGTAGCTTAATCAGTGCTGCTATACTGTGGGTACAATATCCTGTGTATAACGATGTCATATTGCCTAATGCTTATGATTCTATTGCTCTGAGCGTTTGGTTTAGTTGATAAATAGCCTCCCATACACAGATTTTGGGAGAACAAATACACACTGTCACAATACAAGTTATCTTCTTCTTCGGTTGACAATGCAGCATATGCACTCTTAAGATAAAGAGAAAACATTATGCTATTATGCTATGTGACACCAATGCAGTGATGAAAACATTTAAGTTACACCCTCTGGGGAAATATTTATAAGAGGGAGTGACATGCTTTCCCATGATGTGTTGCAACATAATTTCACTGAGACACCACACCATGAACCTCTGCTTATTAAACTATTGTGGCACACCTCAATTATGCTTATCTTTTTAGTTGTTCATCCTAAATATTGTATTAGTTTGTTATTGTATGTTTTTTATTGTATTTGGTTACCAGTGAATGCAGAACTGTCTCACATCTTTATGGTATTCTTTGGCATAGGTTGTGTTGTTGGACTGCCAAGGAATACACCCTGTTTAATACTACCATGTTGCAGTGTACCTAGCTTGTAGAAAATCCTGCCTCTCTGGTGCCCATCCCTCACATGGAATATCCAATGCTTACATGTGATTACAGTATGGCTGCTTCTCTTAAAGGCACAGTGACCCTCTAAGACCCTATTGTACAAGTGCATTGTAGGCTGTTAGCTACTTTTTCTCCTGTCCCATGTTAAATGCTCATAAGAACAGCAAGGCAATTTTTCTCATTATTTGGCCCCTTTTTATACATTTGATTAACTTTTTATTTCTGTTTTGTCTGCAGAAATTCTGTCCTTCAAGTGATCTCACTCAGCAAGTTCCATCATGTGTGATCTCAGACAAGATGGCAATTTGGAGACAGATCACTTGGCTGATTTTTCTCTGATGAACAGTCGTCTGGACTCATTCCGTGGCTCCAGCCTGGCCCAGCAGGTCCCAGCAGAAAGATTGGCTCGGGCCGGCTTCTACTTCACCGGCCAAGCTGACCGTGTCCGCTGTTTCTGCTGTAAGAAGACTGTGGAAAACTGGTGCACGGGAGACACACCTGTGGAAAGGCATAAAGAGGTGATCATAATAGTGATGAAAAACAAATGTGACTAAATTTTTAGTTTTCATTCTGTTCCTAATAGCTAAATACAATCTCGCTGTTACAGGTTTCCCCATCGTGCACATTTCTCAGCTGCACCCACCGTACCAGTTTTAACCCAAGTTCTGATACCACACTCACTAATGGTTCCATCTACAATGAAGCAGCAGAAGACCTAGAATATCGTTTGAGAACAGGAGAGGTGGTTGATGAGTCCACCTACCCTATGGCTCCTCACATGAAGAGTGAGGAGGCCCGGCTTCAGACCTTCTCTTCTTGGCCATCTACTGCACCTGTGACCCCCCAGGATCTGGCCCAAGCCGGCCTCTACTACTTGGGGGAGAGCGACCGGGTGCAGTGTTTCTGCTGTGGTGGCATGCTGGGTGGTTGGGAAGCAGGGGACACCGCCTGGGGAGAACATACCAAACATTTTCCCAACTGCTTCTTCATCCTCGGTCACGATGTGGGCAACATACCGTTCCTGGGGGGTACAGAGGAGGAGGAGAGCAGCAGTAGACAACACAGAAACACTCAAGTCCTTATGGGCAGTTTTGAGGAGAGGCTCTGCAGTTTCGCAGGTGTCCAGCACCCTATTGACCACGAGAGACTTGCCAGAGCTGGTTTCTACAGCACAGGTGGGGCAACATTGAAAACTTTGAGTGATTTTTACATTTTGTTGGTATTTGATCATAGCTATGAATGCAAGCAGGTCTAAATTGTGTGTATGTTACAGGGACAGGAGACGGGGTGTTGTGTTTCCGCTGTGGTGGAGGTTTGAAAGGCTGGCAGCCTGAGGAAGATCCTTGGGAAGAACATGCCAAACACTACCCTGGGTAAGAGCAACCCTGATGTTACATTTAAATGTAAATGTTTTTCTTTTTGCTTTTGCATTTTCTTTTGTTTTAATTAAATTACATTTTTTAAATCAGATGCAGCTTCCTATTGGTGGAAAAAGGACAAGAATTTGTCAACAGCATCCAGCTGCAAGACCCACGACGAAATGGAGCTGTAAGCTTTCAGTGCTTTTACACATAATTAAATAACCAGGTTGTTGTTGACTTTGCCAAGTAAGCCGATTTTGTAAACCTGCATATAAACATGATGCTGGATTTCTTTAATCAGACTGAGGACGAAGATAAATCTGATGAACACCTGATTTCCTGCCCAATGATATGCTTTACTTGGTTTCTAATTATCTGTTTACATGTGGCATATGTGCATAATAATGGAAGCAAAAGTATTGCTGTGACAGCAGTGAGTTGAGATTAAAGGAAATAAAATGATTAATTGTTGCTACCTTGTATCCAAAACATTTAAATCGAAAATTTGGGTAAAACTGAAATTAATAAAAAAGTCAGTCTTCATAACTCTTTCGGGACAGATTCGGACAGATATGCACAGTAAGGAAAAGAAAAAAAGATTAAAACACACCAGTCTTTGTTAAAAATAGTCTATAGGTAGTCTGATAATCAACCAGCTGAATGGCTTTTAGAGCACTCTTGTTATTGCAGTGCATGAAACACTTTCCACAATTTTCTACCTTAATCTGAGTTCTCTCAGTGGGCTGTTTACTTCTGTGCATGTAAGGAAAATCAGCCCGATTTATATCTCCCATCCATTTAACTGCGTCCTGTGACACATGGCAGTATTATAATTTTATTATTTTCCGTCAATCCAAAAAAAATTGGAAAAGAATGCATGCTTACAGTGTTGAAATGAAATTATTTGGTATGCCTTCTGTTGTTTGCTGCACAAAAATATGTGTGTGTGTGTGTGTGTGTGTGTGTGTGTGTGTGTGTGTGGGGTGGGGGGGGATTTGAATTGCAATACCCCCCGTATTGCAATTCAAATTGGTTTTGTTTGTAGTGATGTCACTCATAGGCTTTTGTTTTACTTAAATTACACTGAAAATAACTATATGACCATGTTTGTTTCCAGACTTCAAGTCATCAGAATGGATTTTCAGGACATACAGATGGTAAATATTTTATTCTGACAATCCTTTATTTGAAAATATAAATCTAAAACATTTCAAGTTCTTGATGAAAATGACAAGAAGTACAATTGTATTGGAAACAAACTAAAATAACATAACTGGATTAAAAAAAAGTAGTTGCACACACTGATATTTCCTCTTTGTGTTCAGAAGTACTCCAGTCTGACATGGCTCAGAATGCCATAGGGATGGGTCTAGAGCCCTGTGTGGTGGAAAAGACCATCTTGATGAAGATCAGAAGGACAGGCTCAGGCTACTCCAGCCTGGAAGCGCTTTTGGAGGATTGCTTTAACAACACACCAGAGAGTGCTACTGCCATGACAGAGCAACAAGGTACTTTACTCCCTGTGTACTGTGCCACATTCATAGCATAAACAAATACAATTGTTGACTTTATCAAGCAAAGCGTGAGCAGCAGTGAATTTATATTTATTATATGTATTTATATTTCTCTGTCTTTCTCTGTCTTTCAGATGAGGACCCACTGGAGAAACTAATGAAGCTGCAGAGGGAAAAACAATGTAAAATATGTATGGACAAAGATATTTCTATTGTCTTCATCCCGTGTGGTCATCTGGTCACTTGCGAGACATGTTCAAAGAAACTCGTCAAGTGTCCAATCTGCTGTGGAGCCATATCACAGAAGCTCAAGACCTATATCTCTTAAGGACACACAGACTCTTGCTAAACTTGAATGCTGCTCTCTCACTTTGTAATATTGTAATTTAATATTAAAGGTAAATTGCCTGTAATATATTTAAGGACCATGTTGTTTGTATGAGTATGAGAATGTCATAAGAAGATAATATTTTGACAATCACAGAGATGGTAAATGGATGTTAATAATGAGATGAGATTGTAAATAGCTGATGTTGGTTTTCATTAATGACTACACCTGTTAATACACTAAAATTTCCCATTTTGCAACACTTTCTTACCAGAGGTGCCTTTCTATAGGTTTATGTACTTGCGTCATGTTTTGTTGTTTCATTTAGGACATTTAGCACAATGAACTGGACATGGGATGTAATATTTCATTAGTTTCATTATAATTTCATACATTTCTGTGCTAATTTATTTAGTCTGGTGTGCTTAATGTTTTAGACTCAATTTTCTCAATGTTTGCTGCTCTGTGTGGACATTTATAATGGTAGATTAGTAAATCCATTAAGACTTTTACTTTGTAATCGACAAAATCAGCTCTAGTTGAGGGCCTGGAATAAATCAGTGTGGTGTGAAATTATTTTACCATTTCATCATGCAATCTGTTGTGTCATCAAGAGTGAATAAATTTGAATAATTGGACTTGGGACATGTTTATTTACTATTACATTTTGATATTTTTAACTACAACTGGATAAGCATCATGAATTTTCCTCATGACTTGTTCCAGTTTTACAGACTTTATAAAATGTTACCAGCTGGAAACATTTCTTTTTCTCAGGTGAGGTTTGATGTGACTTTTGCAAAGAGCCTGTGTAGATATTAATCCATATGCATTTAGATTTAGGGATTGATTGATTGATTGATTGATTGATTGATTGATTGATTGATTGATTAATAGGGTGTAAGGTGGCCAAATAAAAATATATAAGGATGAATTACATTCCCTGTGTCACAAAAAGGATTCAAATTAATTTTGGTGTTAGGTTATACCTCACTCACTATCTCACATAAAACTTGAAGGAAGCGAAGGACCTATCTATGGTGGTAATGAGTTAGTATAGAAAATCTCCTGTCTCCTCCCCTTTTTAAAAAATGATAATAATGGGATAAATTTAACTCAGTGTTCGACAGAAATAGACAGAAATAATTCAGATTTCTGGACTTAATTTTTGTTTCTCCTGTCGTTTTCCACAGAAGCTTGTAAGAGAGGAAAGTGCACATAAAGCAGCAACCCTCAGATGTAGTACTCATAAGTGACCACTAGATGTCAGATCATCAACGGTTTATCTAATACGGGTATTGTGGCCGCTAGGTGGTAGCTCTGCACCAGGATTTCCTCCTCCCAGGTCGTCGAAACAACAAACCGAACTACGGAGCAAGCGGGGTGAGAGAACGTCCGAAACCGCCTCTGACCGCGACTTTTAAACTCTTTTTACCGAATTGTAGTGGAATTCAGACGGAGGCTGTATAAGAATAATAAAAGTTACGATTCTAGCGGGACTACATTTCACAACAAGGTAAGTTAGCTGTAAAATGGCGGAGAGCTATCTGGAAGTTAGTTGATTTGTATTTTGCTAGCCGTCTCGCTAGCCAGGCTAGCTTTAGATGAGCCCAGAGCGCGGATGTCTGCCTGAACCAAGTCGCTTCGCTAGCTCGCGGTACATAGCTACTTCGGTTGTTAGCAAGCTAACGAACTGGATTTTTGGCACACTAGCTCAAAATATTTAGTTCGTGAGCAAAAGAATCGTTTTATTGTTTCAAGCGACTTACTTGCACTTTATATATTTGTAAACAAAGTGTTTGTTGCTTATGCAATACGGTACTGGAACTCCCGAGGCAAGATGGAGGACGCAAGGACGTGATGTTTTTTTAAGGTAACGTTAGCAGTAGCAGTTAGCATAGATAACTAGTGGGAGTTATTCTTAGCTCCTTATTTGCAGTATATTAACCACAGTTAGTTGCTCCATCTTCGAGTGAGCACTGGATACGATCAATGTGAAAACAGGGGTGGGTTATTGTCCTTGGAAATATTAGTGACTAGCGTTATTGTGTATTGGCTAATATTAGCTTGCGCTAGTACAGTAGGGCTTGCGTTGTTTTGTTATTATGGTCTAACTACGATAGCGTTAGTAAACGCTGGCATGTTCCCGATATCTAACGTTAACGCGTTGTATGGGACTGTCGCCTTTCTTGTTCAGTGAATCACAGTTTGTTTGCGCTTGAGTACTGCACGCTTACTTTATCAAATTTCAACTAGCCGACGCTGGGGAAAGACGCCAAAATCCTCGGTTGCTTAGCTAGTGGCGCTAGCACCAGCAGCGCACCGGTGTCAATTTTGACAGGAACCGACCAAGAGCATAGCCGTGCCGGCGTTGTTGGAGGGAACTGAGGCGGCACTTTGTGGAGTCGTTGACTTGCAGCAATCCACACGGTTGAGTTTCTCAATTTCGATTTATCTAAAATCGTCTAGTCTAGCTTCGCAGTTACAAGTTTATGAGATACACTGCTCGATTTGGCGCCACTTTTTTCAGTCTACACCCATAGAATCCCGTCGTCTTGTCATGCAGTAACCCCACACTATCAAGGAAATAGGCACGTAAACTGATTTTTAAACCAATAAATATCCCAGTTAAGTTTTAACTCACAAAGTCATAACTAACCCATACATAGAGTTGATGTTGAATTGGTCTACGCTGACTGAGTGCGTGATGGTGCGGGGAATTTCACGTAGATTTTTGTATACAAATAAAAAATTTGGCTTGATAAGACCCCCATTTGACATATGTGGGCTATCATTTGCAGGATACTGCGAGGGAGAGGATCCTGTGACTGACATTACATAGGAATTATGTCGGAGAGTTACCTTGAAAGTCTACACACTACTCATAAATGTTATTATAATGAAAGAATGACACACTTTTATGTCATCACTGCGTGTACTAGGAGTGAAAGACGCACCTATGGCACCTAGATTGGGTATATGATGGGTGGAGTTTATGTTTGCCTTTTCAAGGCATAACAGTTGTCCCTGGAGTGCTTTTATTGACTTTCCTGAATGCTACATTTGTCTTTGAAGAATGGATAAAGTAAGAATCCGTATTTCAAAAGTTAGGTATACTCTTCCCTTTGATGTATATGCTATTAATTTACACATCACAACCATGCAATAGTTTCTCTGTGGCCTGCGGTATCTTGTTGATGTTGATACTGTCTTTTGATTGGCTGAGATATGAATGGGGCGGATAGGGTAGTGCCATATTTGGCCATTGAGGAAGACACTCCAATCTTCGTTGCATGACGTTGTCTGTAAACCAAGGGGAGCAGAGAAAGAGAGGGAGCCAATGGCTAGACAGCTGAGTGTGACAGGAGCATTTGTTTCCGCCCCCTGTTACCATGTGAAACCGTTTTTTTTTCCCTCTGAATGGCATCAAAGAAGCATTTGCTCACAACAGAGGATGAGATTTCTGTGAACATACACATATTTGATGTTTGCTTTTGTAACATTTATTGTTTCTGCTGTGCTGAAATGTGAAATAAATCTTCATGTGTAGCTCTGTAAATGACTCTTTCATTTTCTAGGTCACATGCAACCTCTCCTGTCTTGTATTTTCTGAAGATCTCAAGTCAGTCATAAGTTGAAGTTATCCAGAAGATGTTACAGAAATGATAGCAGCACCAGAAATACCAACAGAGTTCTCCTATACTCAGTAAGTGCATGACTCTACGCATGTGATATTTACTGTTATGGTTGAAGTTGATATGAATTTTCATTCTAATGTCTGCTTGTGTCTACCAGGGATACAGATACTCGATTCTCTTCAGACACAGACTTTTCTGAGGATCCTGATGGAAGGAGTGCAAACTCAGCTAAAGGAAAGGTATAGAAAGCACAAATGGCTCTACACTTATGGCCTGCATCAGGACACATCCTGGTCATATCACAGTATTGCATAATTTTTTGCATTTATAGATCATTGTAACATTTATAAAATTAAGTTCGTCTTCTCGTAATCCCTGCAATGATACACATACATAGTGCTCATACTCTTCTATGCTGTTCCAGGGTGGAAAGAAGGGTAAGAAGGCGGCAGGGGAGAAAGGCAAAGGAGGGAAGGGAGCAGGTCGGTTAAATGGCCACCACCAGGAGAATGGCATGGAAAACATGATGCTGTTTGAGGTGGTGAAGCTGGGCAGGAGTGCAATGCAGGTATGAATGGCAAGATCTGTATGATTGCCACTTTGTAAAAAAAATACATTTTTTCAGTCATTTTTTTAAAATGATGGTCTGCAATGATCTGCATTCTTTATTGATTTCTTATTTTAAATGTGTCTATCACGATCTTCCTGCAGTCTGTTGTTGATGACTGGATTGAGTCTTACAAACATGATAGAGATGTTGCACTACTAGATCTCATCAATTTCTTCATCCAGTGTTCAGGATGTAAAGGTATGTATGTGTGTACGTTTAGGTCACCCTACATTGTGACTGGCCCCTTTTATAATGTATCAAGGAAAATGTTTGATTCTGTGTGTCCTACAGAACCACACAGTCAAATGTGGTACCCTCTAGTTGGTCTTTTTGACCACTTAGAACTTCAATTGTCTTCTGTCTAACCCCTCTGTATTTATCAGGTGTGGTCAGTGGTGAAATGTTTCGCAACATGCAGAACTCTGAGATCATCCGACGAATGACAGAGGAATTTGATGAGGTAACTCAACTTTTTCCAGTATAATGATTGCCATACAAAGCTGTCATTTTAGATTAAATATCCACTTTAGTAAATGCAAAGGACAATGGAACCAGCTAACTTTTTAGCGGGATAGAGATGGTAACTAACTGTTGTAGCATCTCATCATTACATTTACTGATGTTGTTCCCATTTGGCCTCTGTAGGACAGTGGAGACTACCCTTTAACCATAGCAGGGCCCCAGTGGAAGAAGTTCAAATCAAGCTTTTGTGAATTCATTTCGGTGCTAGTGCGCCAGTGTCAATACAGTATCATCTATGATGAGTACATGATGGACACAGTCATCTCTCTTCTCACCGGACTATCAGACTCCCAAGTCCGAGCCTTCAGACACACCTCAACACTGGCAGGTAAGATTAATTGTGTGCGTGTTGGTGTGTGAGGGGTACATTTGATTTTCAGTATTGTGCAATGTTTTTATGTTTTCACAGTATAGTGTCACTGGTGAAACTAATTTTGCCTGGCCCAAAAAATTATTTTTTTGTAGTGTTATATGTAAAGGACTGAATTAATACAACCAATGATAAAGCTACTAAACTCCTATGGCACACCCACAAGTGTGTCATTTATTTTTGCTGATTAGACTTTTAGTTTTGTTACATATGTAAGAGTAGAACAACTTCCACCTATATTGTTGGCTGTGTTATGTACACAAGGGTGCTCGGATTTCAGCAATGTAGGTAGATTTACCCACTAAAATAAAGTACCAAAGGCACCTGGTGGGGGCAGATCATGTGTTCTGTAATAGCCATAGGTATGCAGACTAGGCAGCAAATATTGTTTATGTTGCATCAACAGCATTGTACATTTTACAACAGTTTTTAATTGAGTAGATGGGCGGTGTAACTAAAAAATATAAATGTATACAGTGCTGCAAGAATGAGTCTTAA